CCAAAAATCGAAATGAGTGCCGAGTTTTGAAAAAAAACTCAGGCAGGCACAAACATTACTAAACAGGAATTTGATCAGAACATAAAATACTTTTCGTCTTTTCGTTGAGGTGAGCGACTTTTTGCCAAAGACGCGTCCCGGCTGTTAGAAGAACTGGAATCGCGAGAAGAGCACTTGCTGGACGAACTTTTGCTTAAAGACACTCGATGATACACGTCGTGTGGGTTGTTCTTGATGCAAGCAAAATAATCTTCTAGCTAAACGCACCATTGAGAGATAAAGCAGGAAACATGTCGACTGACTACCGAAAGTACCTTGCTACGATCGATCGTGTGCAAGTAGTAGGTGACGGGTTTTCCTGTCCATGAAACTGATTCTGGCATCGATGCCAGTTCTTCTACCTTCAGAATCGAACCGATGTCTGTAACCGATTAAGAATGTGAGTAAGTATATCTGCATAAATAACGTTTAATCCTTGCCAGAAAGATTCCGATCTGAAATCCGGAAGTTCATCGAACAAAATGCTTTCGAAGATACGATCTTCGTTCCATCCTTCATTTCGGCAAATATTTGTTTGAGCTAAATTATAGAGACCTTAACAATATTTCAGTCAATTTTTAATTATTGTACTAACTTTATGATCAACTTCCGGTCCAAAGGCGAAATTGTTTACGAAAATCACCCTGCAACAGTACCGAGTTAAAAACGTACAAAATCAAGATGCTATGCATTTTTTAAAAGAATAGACCCTTATAACAAAGGACATATTTTAATTTACTGGTTTTGGGTCAAGCAAAGGTCGATGTTGAAATATCTTTTACTTAACAATGACAAAGATTCGGGCATACTACAGTGGTCTTCTTTAAGTCGACAAAAATTCTGGATTTATTTTATGTGCTCCTCAGTTTAATTCTGAGTCACCGTTGCAGAAGATAAGAAACAATGAAAGTATGGGATTGCACGAAAGGATGAATGGCTATTGGGTAAACAAGCCTCAGCCTCCGCCATCATAGCTAAAAAGACATGCCACAAACCTAAGACCTGAGCACTGAAGATATGGTAGAATCGACAGAGTATCCCACCTCTTTTGAAAAATGTCTGTCTAGAAAGATACACTGACTACAATCCAACAAGGAGGGCTGTGGAATCATTGTTGGTATTAGCGCGTAAAGGAAACGGCGTGACACATTTCCACTATATCGTGCAACAGCATGAAATGGCATGATTAAATGCTACGCAAAAATTACCTAATTATAAGAACTACTACTGACGATACCACACGCAGGCTTGTTTAAAGTACGGCTGGTGATTACTATTTGCAGAGCCTAAGTATTCGCTTTTTGTCGATCCATCCACTTTAAAGTTGTGGTCTGCGGATGAGGCATGGTTAGTCTAAACTCGGAGAGTACCAGTAACCCTTCTCCACTGTTATCTGACTGGATCAGTAATGACCTTCGATGACTTTTCAGCAGGTTTCTTTTGCTGATTAAACCGGCAAAATCCGTCAGGGCTCACTCTTGGTGGCGTGTGCTGCATAGTCTCGAGCACTTTTCTTACTGTGACTTGTCTTGGAGGGTAGACAGACTTACTCCCCTTCCTGTTTGGAACGTGCTGCTCCAGATCGTCAGTGATTATCCATGTTCACCAGCTTGACAGCATGGTCTTCGTCCTTCAAGTGACGGCATACCCTGTTTTTCCAACTTAGAGTTGTTATTTGCAGTATGGATAGGTCTCTCAGACCAGCTGTTCAAGCGTCTCAAAAGAAATTGGCGTTGTGAATAAGCAAATGGGTGAACGAACGGATGAGCTAATTATGAATGAACAATTCCACTATTTCTAAAAAACAAAATGCTGCATAATCATAGGGAAAACTCAAAAGAAACACAAAACATGTCATTAAAATTGAGCAATGTAACAACAGACGTAATTTAACGTGATGTAAAAAATAGATTTTAGGCTGTTAGGTGCCTGAGTCGTGAACACATTTGATAAACAAATGTGAAATTCGATCGAAAGTTGAGCTGATGAAGCAACGTGAATGAATAAAAAAAGGAAAGCAGATTGCCCTCAACGGTTTGGACATCGACTCCCTCACATTTATATGGCTGACACCATTTGTAAAACCGCTGTTGTTCTGAGCTTAAGTTGCAGCGCTACCACAGTTTCCATGCCATCAAAAAGCAGTGCCATAGTTTTCTTTATGCATTTTTGCAATAAAGAAAAAGAAAGAAAGATTTCAACAGCTGGTATGTCAGTCTTCCTCATATATCTAATTGCTGGCGCCAACTTCTCATAAAGTTAATGGCGGAGCACTGATTTTGATTTTCATACTATCAGGCAGGAGTACCTGATTTCTAAAGGTAGAGTCGTCAGAAACTACGCGGCAAGCGGTCTGTAATCTCCTCTTTCCTTCTTACACGATGGTTCTCACTTTAGCTTTGGAAATTAGAAAGAGATCAGACCGGAAGTTCGAACTCAGAACCTGTTGGTTCAGAATCAGACGCACTACTGACTGAGCAACTCTGATTTAAGAAAATCTATAGCAGATAATTATTTCCAATTTCCAGGTGACACTCATTTGAAACAAATGTCTTGGAAGGATGAAAATGCAAGTGCTCGGGACTGGGATTCGAACTCGCGATCTTTCGAATGTGAAATCACTCTGGTCAATCGACTGTGGAATTGACATGCTAGTCTGATTCGAGATTCATGCAGAGCAAGCAGTATGTGCTGGTGCATAAATACTGGTCACTACAATCACACAGATATCATGCTACCCAGAGTACTACAGTAAATTTTTGCCACGGGTGACAATCACAAAGAACGCATGTCTTGATATTTTCCTGTGACATTCAATTTTATATATGAGAGTATAATGCCACTTCCACAAAAGCAAGATTCATTAAGTAAAGCATGAAAGAGTTAGCATTCCTACCGACACCAAAAACAGAACGTGTCTTACTATTCTTCTACTACATGATGCACTGACGCTCTATCAATAAATGCCATGTCTCGTTCGGTAATTATAATAACCAGTTTCGTTGTCACATCAAAAATCGCATATTTTCTAACCCTATTTTTAGAGGAAAACTGTCAACTGTTGGGCAGCGCAAAAGATTGGCCAGCGGTGCGTGGAAGAACAAACAACGGTAAGAAATGCCATAATATTTTGCAACAAATTTTGAAGCATAAACGAAACAGTAGACACTTACGACGCTTGCATGATAACGTCTCGATACTTTTCGTCCAGAAAGTCGCCGTTGATCAACTCGAATGGCTGATGTTTCTTGCCATACCACTTCATCCATTTGCGAAATTCCTTCTCGAGTACCTGAAAATCAGCGTTCTGTCGATCGTGAGACAACATTGAACCGCACGGAACAGACGGTTTATGAAGAAAACATCGATAGAATAAAAGAACATAAGAACAAAAGACATACGACAGCAAACTTATTCGGCCATTCTCCCTTTTCGATGCCGATGCATTTGTAGCACGGACTGCCGCCTGCGATTTGCAGTACCACTTGTCCCACACCTGAAGGAAACAAACCATTCTGTTAAACTGAATATCAAGGATACGAAGAAGATGAAGTGGTTTATTCCCTAGGCAAAACCGGATAAAAGAACTAAATGAGATCTGGTAGGTTACAACTGCAAACATTGAACAATGATACGTTTCTGTTTCCTCGGATTCCATAACGTCCTAGCATAAAATGTAGTACTCATCTGCGATAAAGCACAGCGGGAGCTGAAATGGCGTGCGCTTTGCTTCTGCTACTCGTTTGAACAACGCATACAGGAGATGGATGTTACCAGGGAACAGCGAGTTACTAAATCGCCCCAGTGAACGGACTATGGATGGAAGTATCAGGGTAACGACTTCGTCCAAGTAGATCGTGACGTTAGAAATAAGAATGAGGGCTGTGCGTAGAATATTAAAATCCTTTCATTCTAGGCCAGCAAAAACTATTGGACCGATAGGGGTAATCAATCATATTAGACAGCCAAGCACCAAGAGTCGAACAATCTAATTAAAAGTGCTATCAAGAAGTACAACATCATGAAAAAGAAACTCGGCTTGCGCACTATGGTGAACATGAAATTTACTTCATCAGACCAATCGACGGTTGTGAACACCAAGGAACTTAACGGAGGGGCTATTCAGATTTTTTCATACCCATTCATTTGATTACTACTTCCATCTCTATAAACCTGTCTAACTTCACCAACAATCAACGCATTCACAACTTCAGTGAACTCAAGAGAAAAAGTCAACAATTTACCAATTGGGCCGGAAGTAATCATTGTTGGCTGCCACCTTACTTTCCAGTTGACTGCATAAAACCAGATTTTCAGGAAGTCGAATGAATATGTTAAAACGGCCTAATTCCCAACAATCAGAAAGCAACACAGCCAGTGGCCACCGAATCTGTGAGGTTAGTGGCTGTAGAAATATATGCAATTTGATGGCATAGCATGTTATGATGAGGGTCGGAAGGACCAAAAAGTTGCTACAGATAGGGCTGCAAGTTTTTTTTTGCAAGAAATATCAGTACACGAGAAAATTTACCATTAAAAACAAGCGTATATTAGAAACCGATCGACGGCACGGTGTCAATTTTATTTCGTACATACTGCTGTTCGTAGAAAAATGACTAGTCTAGAATCTGTATCCACAGCAAATGCGACATTATCTGCTAACTCCGCCTTATTCTTATAGCGTAACAGCCACTTAATCAATCGAAGTAAAACAACGATCTGAAGGTCTTCATTCTGGAAGAGTTCAGCTGAATCGACTGAACGCTGATTAGATTAGCTCTGCGAAGCAACGACTGTTACGAGATGACATTTGCCGCTAACCATTTTCCCCGCCAACTCCTGGAGATACCGTTTTTGTACTTCGTTTCATAATACTTTTTGAACAGTTGCAATTTCAAAGCAACTTTAACATCAAGAAGTTTAGTAGGAACTGAAGCATGTTAATTCGACGGATGCAGTAACTAAAGCATCTGACCGATACTTCGGATTGATCATCGATGCGGATATTGTTCTGAAATAAACCGCGGCTATGCGCTCAATGATACTCTACTGAACCAATTAAATAATAAAAGAAAAATATTTATAAACCAATTTAAAACCGGTACCAAGGTTCCCTGAAAGTCCCCGTTGAAAAGCACGCCCATTAGTAATAAAAAATTCGAATGCATCGCAGCAAAACAACATTAATATTCCGTCGTTATCTCGCTGACACTGACAGGAACCGTATTTTTCGATTATTTTAAACGCAATTGTAACTAAGGCATTGCAACAATTGCAAATTGAGGTTATGACGTGCCTGATATCGGATGAATGGCAGATATAAAGAAAATAAATTAAATCCGCTCTATAAGAATGGTTCCCAGCAGGGGTCTGATAATAGCATCTCTGTAGATGAAACCACACAATCTATGGAAAGCTTCAAAAACGGAAAACCCCTTGGAATCGATGAAATCCGCCCTGAAATGCTCAGAGCAATAGGGCGAACGGGTAATTTAAGCTTACACGAATCTGTGAAACAGCAATGGCTAAGGGGAAGACACCGTTGGACTGAAGAACCGACACTGTAGTACCCCTGCTCATGAAGGGAGACCATAGAGAGTGCTGCAATTATCGGGGCATTACTTTACTGAGCGTATAAGCTAGGCGCAGGTACTAGAAAGGAGGCGATACCACACAACTGACTTACAATGTAATGCAATATACAACAAAATACGCGAAGAGCAGTCCTTCATCCGGTCCGGCCGAAGCACATCTGACCAGACTACTTTTCCCCATGACAGATTGTAGAGGAATCGTGGATGTTCGCGCAACTAGTTAATATGTGCTTTGTCGACTAACAGAAAGCCCATGATCGGATTCCACACAAAAATCTATGTCGGTGCCTCCGGACATTGGGGATAGATGGCTAGCTGCTAAGGGTCATCCAGTCACTGTGTTTTGATAGCAGGTGCTGCGTAGAGTTAATGGCGTTAAGTCGAAACCATTCAACGTTCGCACTGGTCTCCGCCAAGGCTGCGTCCTGTCCCCCATCTTGTTTGTGTTGTACATGGATTGAATAATCAGGAGCTGCGAAGGCGATGAGTGTATCGATGTAGGAGACGTGAAGTCGAGAAGACTGCTGTTTGTAGACGACCCTGTTTTATTGGCATCTTCTGAAACTGATCTACAGTGCTCTATGGAAAGGTTCGCACCGAGTGCGACGTGACCGACATGCGTGTGAACGCATCTAAAACGAAAGGGATAGTACTTTCTCGTTCTCCTGTCCGTTGCTCTCTTCAGATTAACGAAGCGGCAGTGGAACAGGTGGGGAAGTTAAAGTATCTCCTAGTCGTGTTTACTGGTGATGGAAAATTTGAGGCAGAGATGGACTGGCAAATTGTAGTAGGCCGTGGCTTCTGCGTGTGCTAGTTCGATCCGCTGTGACTAAATAAGAGATGAGTCTGAAGACTATACGATAATGACTATAATACTATGCCTCGGTAATAGTAATCCCCATGTTTACCTGACCTTACCTTACCTTTCTGAGCTATGGACCATGACTGCAAAACTTCAATTCCGAGTACAAGCGAATGAAAAGGGCTGTCTGAGATGAGTCGCTAGCATTTTCTACATGGTCTGGAGTAAAGAAATACGAGTTTTGGTTTACAGCCGCTGCTCCTTCAGACTGAGAATTCACGGCTGCGATGGGTTGGGCAGGTGTTGCGAATGCCTCCAGAAAGGAAAGCGAAGCAACCGTTGCTTGCCCAGCCGACGAGCAGAAAGCCTCGGAGACGGCCAAGATTAACTTGATGGAAGAGCACTGAAGGACTGTGCTCTAAACACCGGCTGTGTTCGGCCAAAGCTCAGATGCTAGAACAGCATGGGGAACTTTGTTTTCACTGTATGACGCGTCTGTCTCCGCGTCCCGAAAGGGGAAGCGATCATGCAAAGTAAAAAGATATGAGTACCATATGGCGTCAGCTTTGCGTGTTAAAAATTTGCCTTACGCCCTCCACATTATGTATATGCAGCGGTGAACCAAGCGGAGTATCCCTGTCAATGAACTTTATAACCATGGAACAAAGGCTACACGAGCTAAAACACGCAAGGAAACGACTACAGAAGGTTCTAGATTAAACGGGCATTATGGGAAGGGGCAAAACTGGGTATTGACTGCGTACATTTGATGGCTAAAATTATATCGATGACATCATCGGCCTTGGATTTTATCACCTGTATTTACTCGCCTATATGGATGAAAAAAAGTTTCAGACCTTTGGACATTGGTCTCCTTTATACCCTGATTACTGCATCTGGCATGAGAATTTTTGTGATATACAGCCTTTATTCATGGAAATTATGACGAGGCGATGATCACTGTTTCTACGTCTTCAACCAAGAGTCCCTGTCGTTATTTTTTCTAAGACAATATCCAAAGCCAGATAGACTGTTATGTAGTCTATTTTTCTTGTGGTACTCATTTTTCAACATTTTTCAATGGCTTTCGCTTTATAAGGAAGAAAGCTGAGTGACTCGACCGGTACTTGAATGCAAGATACTCGATCCTGAAGCCTATGTTTATCGACTGGAGGGGGAACAGTACCGTCAGAGAAAATTTACTGAAGCTGCCACGCTCGTCAAACGAAACGAGCAGCCGGTTTTAAAAATGCATGAATATTTGTTCTTTAACATCACGTTTAGGTAGCAGCTGAAGAAAGATCGAAAATGATGAACTGACGATAGCTACCCCCGAGGAGAAGAAACTGGAGTCGAAGCTGGAGAGGAAAAGCACAGAAAAAACTTACCGCTGCCCAAATCGATAAACAGATCGTCCTCCGTCAAATCCACTTTTTCGATCATCTTGGCGATGAGGTCGTACGACGTTTCACCATACACCTCAGGCGAAAACGGTTCGTACTGGTTCAGCTTGTCAGGCTCAGACACCGAATGGTTGTACACCTGCTGGACGATGTGCCTCAACAATGCGGTGCTTGCTCTCTGCTTTTCTTTCGGTTGCGTAACGCCCTGCCACTAAATTCCGCATTGTTAGCTTACGCAGTTCACATTAATAATCGTGATTATTCTCAGCGCACCAGTTGCTTGATAGTCTTCACCGTGCCGTTGAACTTGTCACACATGTTCTTCATCGACTCAAAACTGGTCGTGTCCACATTGTGGATTGTAAAGCGCTCAATCACAATCTTTACTTCCGGATAGTCCTCCCCGATCCATCTGAAAACAAGTCGCACTTGCTGAACTTGAACTTTATACAAACTAAGCAGAGTCTACGCTTTCCGCCTTTAAAGAATCTTACCTTATAGTCTCTATGATCTCCGCTGCGCCATTGTATTGTTTCGTCTGTAGAAAAACAATAATACAAATTTCATAACCCTCATAATTGTGATGTAATATACCATGCATAACGGCCAAGAGTACACAACAGACTCGCCCCCGGCCGGACTGCACAGCTTTAACTGTGCTTTTTGAATCATCATGGTTGGTATCCGTCAACGTCACTGTCAGGTGACGAACCGGTCAACCTTTTGAAATGATCATTGTTCTACAAGCACAGAAATCAAGCCAAGTGCTTTAACAACGATCCTTTAACACATAAGTCGGTTCGGCAAGACAACGAAAAATAGTCAAAAATTATCTTAACAATAGGCTGACTAGCAATAGTAGCAATCATGCTATTCTATTACATTATATTTAACGTACGTGGCAAATGTATGTTCATAAATCTGTAGAGCATATTGACAAAGCTGTACGACCGCTACACAGTATCCTAACTTTTAGCGACTCCTTCTTGATTCTGCCTGCTTTTCAATAGTATTACGATCAGTCAATAAGAGTCTCTCTAAACTCTCGAATTCTGAACTCTATAAAAATCATTTATTTAGCTTATAACTGGAAATTTTACCAAATACCAGCTCGGGTTGTATAATACAACAATCAAAATAAAAAATTTTTTATTTATCAACAATATTATTGACATATCTTGTTACCAAGCCAAGGATCCTGTGAGGAAAGGATTACAACGCACGCCGGAAGGGATTCAGGTAAAACGAAGAGCTGCTTTTTTTACTTTCCCGATTTTCGAAAAATAAACGCCTTTAAATGCCTTTATCTCATTTTTTCTCGAATTTTAAATTCGATCGCATGGTGATTTCTGTTGTATAGTTTCTGTCGTCATAATTTTCAAAAGACCGCATACATTTGCTGAAATAAATTCCCCCCTTCGGATCTAGATGGTTCAGTCTTCGTACAAGAGTCAATGCGATTTCTGAAGCTGAATCGATTAACAGAACTATGCATTTGTTCGCTTATGCTATTCATAAATTTTGTAATTTGTTTTAAGATGTATAATTCAATGTCATTACGGCACAAATTTCATACTCATTATGTTTAAAATTTGTGAACTATAACATGTGGGCGTAGTGAACAAAACAAGTGTAAGTCTAAGAGAGTTAATGATAGAACATTTGCATCTGTCTTTGTGATCCTCAATTGTTGCTGTTCACATGAGGTTCTTTAGGACATCAACCTCTTCCCCTGCCAAAAATAGAATGTCTTTCATTTCTAATATCCGTCGTATACCAAGTGTTTTAACATTTTTGTTGCGATTCACGGTAAAAAAATAATTTTTCGCGGAAGCAAATCTTCCTCTAGCTTGTTTCTTGATATTCCATGCCGGCTTGCAAAAGTATATTCACCGAATAGATGATTTTCCAGACCCAGTCAGTG